AGGATGAAAGGAGCCCTGCAGATTAATCTGTCTCAACCCATGCATGCAGCATTAGGACATATTAATAGTCCACAACCAGACAATTCTGCTTCATGTCCAAAGAGTGTGACCTTCAGGAAGCACCACCTACCACCAGGATTAAAGTTGAGCAAATGATAACTGTTGATGGTTATTAACATTTGCCTACCCAAGTTACGCTGCCTCTTTGGACAGCAAACAAGCTGAAATAGTCTTTGAAGACAAAGGTTGTACGATAATGAACAAGTAAAAACTGTATTCAGAGAGAGGAGAAAAAACACTTTGTGAGATGTGCTTTGAAGCTAGCACAAAAATATATATCTTTGCCCTCACATGATGCCACCATGAAACGTAGCATATTACACGTTCCTCTGGAAGCATACTGCAGTGTAAGATTTGCATTTCTGCAGCTATTTTTCTTAGTAAATGATGCCCTGTGTGCAAATATCAGGTCACGTGACTTGATTATTCAAATACACATGGCAAATATAAGTCAAGTTTTATTTGAAATGTGATTGGTGCCTGAAAAGATTTTGGTATTGTTACAGATAAGATACTAGCCTCCCCTCTTGGTCGAATGCAGACCGAGGAGACTTTTAATTTGTGGAGCTGTGATTCGTTCCACTTGGCTGCACAGATTGTAGGTGAGGGGGTATTCTGCCCGCTGCTTTTCAGCTGTCACCATTTTGGAATCCACTTTCATACCATTGGTGAACACTTTTAAGCTTCAATAATGGTGAACACGGTTATACAGCAGCTGCTTAATATCTGGGACTTGTATTCTTCCGTGGCAGCCATTCGCTTGTTAAATGATATAAACTCCCTTGTCGTTTCAGGCAGAACACTATTTTAAGATGTTACATAAGAAGGCAAATTAGTTTAATATCATTCATAAAATTCATACATGAACGTTTACTTCTGCTCTCTTGTTTTTTCTACATTACTGTGGGTTTCGTGGGCATAATGAGTTCAAGCAGTTTCACCTTAATTATCTGTATGTTTCCATTTCCGTTGTCCGCCTATAATCTTTCGCAAACGTCTTCTGGCTTAGTTCAAGGCCGACAGGACAAATCTGGGGCATAGACATAAGTGACATATACATTCATTTAAAAACCATACAGTACATGAGCAGGTAATTAAAACGCCTTAATGCACATATTCTAGATGGAAGATATTCTTATGTTTTTTTTTTATAATACTAGTTTTACTTATGCCTCTTTAAAAGATGTCGGTTTAAACTGCCAATCTCTTCCTCAGCTCTCTAGCTCTTCCAGTTTCGATTCCTCATTTGTTCACATCATGAATGATATCACAGTCTTCATCTGCTGAATAAATGCATGACGTTTAAATAAATATGTCCATATGTGCATTTTGACACTATACTGTGATTGGCTTTAATCTTGTACAGTATTTCTAATCTCTGTTGTCTAAATAGATGCACTACACACCTCCACGGCCTTAAGATAACTTTGCCATTGACTCTTTTTCATACATATTCATTTTGTATATACAGTATTCTGATGTGGCACCATTTGTCCTGGTAAGACATTGTCAGTTATTCTTGCCAAATCACCAGCGTTAAATCACTGTGTCACAAGTATCACCGATTTCTACTCACTGTACTTCACATTCACATCACACAACCTGCAGCACAATTCACCGCTCCTCTCCCTCAGGGCATCAACAGGCGCACCGTACAGTATTAAAAGGCCGAGCCAAGAGGCAAGAGTCTATTAAGGAGGCCTGCTGGCAAATGAGTTGATTGGGTCAGAACATCTTCTGAGCATCGCTCTTTCTAATTGAAAAAAATGCTGAACTGGAGGTTATTCAATTGAGAAATACTCATTCGATGTGATCTATAAAAGCACATGGCCTTGTATATATTGGAGGGAATTCTAAGCACTTTGAGTGCTGATGTTTGCTTCTGTTTAAAAGATATTAGAGCTTCCATTTATAATTCAAAACTGTATTACACAATTCCAGAGATGTTCAGTGATTATTACCAAACGTTTTGAGAGGGCAGCCGTGTACATTATGCACACCAGTGCTAGCAAATGTTTACTTCAGCACGCTTACAGGCTAACAGTGGCATCCATGACATGTTGATGTTTAACAGGCGTGATGCTCACCATCTTAGATTAGCGCATGAGCATTCTAACATTAACAATAATTACGTACTTGTTCAGAAACCAAATTACTGGACAAACTATATTTTGGACTTCAGGATGGCCACAAAGTGATTGTATATTCATCCTGACGGGTACATGAATATCTGAATCAAACGTTCCTGCAAAAGTTGCTATGACATTTTACTCAAAATCCCAAATGTCAACCTCATGGTAGTACTAAAGGAAAAGTCACAAGAAACAGAGCTATTAGGATTCATCATCCTGGAGCATTACAGTTGGTAACGATCCACATAACAGATGTTTGAGACATTTCAATGGATAAGTACCTACCAACTACCGGTGGTGTCAGGTGAAGTCGGGAGTTCACCAAAAATGTATTGCAATCTATGAAATTGTTCTTGAGATACCACAGTGACAAAACGAGCAAAAGGCCGACATTGGCATCATGCCCTTATGAATTGTGCTATATTTTCATTCCTCTGCGTACACAGTTTAGGTGGCTTATTGCCACTAAATGAAGAAGGGGTTTGCAGTCAGGACAATCAACTGTGATACTGTATTTCCATGAATTAGACCAATACAAGTGCCTCAATTACCTCAATAATATATTTATAGCATGTTAAGTGAGGGGGCCCCTGATCAGTGCAGGTTTGTAGCAGGACACTTAGGCTTTCATGTCAACACTGAACAGTCAAATATATGCAAATACCTTCAACCAGCAGTTGGACAGCAATGTCAGACTGATGCATGTTGTTGTTGTTGTACTGCCCTATTGTGTTACCCTTTCACAAGGTTATACCAATACGTTTTAAGGAGCAGCAGCAGTGGAGCTTGCATACTCTGCTGCCTGGCCTGTTTGCCATCACTGCAGTTTGTGTGCCAGAACTTCCAATAGCGGATTATCATGGAGCTACTCCACATGTCTCGCTGAGGCCTTTAAGTCTTTATATTACAGAAATTGGTTGATCATATTTCTGTGGTGACTTATCTATAAAAAATGTAAATAGGCTACATATTAAATTGTGCAGGGGAACCTACAGAGAAAATATTGGACCATGTTGAGAGTATATCTTAAGTAATATTAATTAATATTATCATACGTTTATTTTATTAAAAATATCCTCCTTACAAACAAATGATGACAATTGTACGATGTTACGACGCTGTAAATGCACACAACTGTCAGACTGTGTTCTGTGTTGTATAACATGAGTGTAATCAATGAATGTTCTTCTTCCATTGACGTTCAAATCAATCAAATAAATATATGTCACAAGAAGTCTGTAGCCTACACTTGTTTTAATTTAATTCTGCACAAGGTGTATATATTTTCTGATGGGATTGTTTTAAACCAAAGCTAATTTTGTCCAAATCAGACTGTGACGGACCTACTTTGAGTTCCTGGTCTGACAGCAGGCATTGGATCGCTTTTCCGGATATTCCCTCACCAGCAGCCAAAGGCCTGTAGCCGCTCAGGCTACCAGGCGTGAATGCGCATTACTAAGTAATCCTAAAGATGAAATTGTACTACGAACAAACCGTTGTGTATGCCTCCCACATGCACTTGTATGAGTCGGCAGAAAACAATTCAGACCATCTGGCTTAACTGCATGAGAAAGAGGAATTGCCAGCAGGTTAAGCAGAAGCGACAGTTTCCTTGCAAAAAACAATACATGATCAGTGATTTTAACTGAGCTAAATGAATCATGTGCAGGCCCATGCTGAATGCAACTTCTGCCCAGTGGGGAGAGCTGCATGAAACTATCACTGCGGTCTCGTTGAGCCACGTGTTTGAGCAATATAAAGGCAGGCAAGTGTTGATCTTGTGCATCTATAAAGGCATTTGTTGCCGTTATACGGCAATTGATGAAAATTACAGCTTTGGAATACAAACTGCAGATGGACCATGTTGGTGTACAAATGCACATATCAAGGAGAAGGAACTGAGGCCAATCATTTCGCCCTTCCTTTAGTAGAGTGGAGCCTTCCCATGGTGACTTTGAAAGTAAGGACATCATGACCCAAAATTGGCGTCAACGTCACTAGAGCCTCACAGCAGCAACATGAAACATGGATATAGGCCTTGTCACTTACAAGACCAAGACGTGCAGAAGAAAATAGTTTATATATATATATATATATATATATATATATATATATATATATATATATATATATATATATATATATATATATATATATATATTGTATATATAATTAACCTGTCGTGAGGTCCTCTGCAGAGGAGAAGGCCATTAAGCAAGCCTCCTCGAGAGGACCATGCCTAAAAGTCACCTTGGGAGGCCGAATTGACGGATAAGTGTTGGCGCAAACGGGTCGGAATTGGGTACCCGCCAGGAAGGCAGGTTTTTAGCCACATCACAGCTGCATACCCAGAGGAAAGAATCCGGTGTGATTGGCTAACAAGGACAATGCCATTTTATACAGCCGTCCACAATAAACACCCCTTTCAATTCATGGGCTCTGAGATTAATCTCACTTATGTGATAGTTTCTGCATGGAGCAACATGCACTGCACTCGGTCTGCAGCCCTGCTGCAGCCCGCCATGTGTGCTTTCACTATCCGGAGCTCGGAGCTCGCTTTTTATGTGTTGCTGTCGTGCACCGAGGATTTCAACATTTTGCGTCAAAAATCAAATAGTTGTTTCAACGGGACTGTGATGGATCCGTGCGCTACCGGATAGGCCGAACCCCCCCACACACACACACTTTCCCCCATATCCACCGTATCCACCGTATGTAGGTCATCAATGACAGCATCTGCGATATGCAAGGAGGCATTTCGTCACCATGTGGTTATTAATCATTGCTTTTTGCACCGAGGAGCCTTACCTTCTGCTGTCGCCTCGCCATATCCGTGGGCTGCTTTGCGTTGAACGGGTAAGCGACGCATCGCATCACAAAAACATACAACTGCAGCTTCTTCTTACGGTCTTCCTCCTCCCTGTGCATCTTCTCCAGGTCCTCTTTCTCCTCGCTGGCGGCCGACGGGCTCGGGCTGGTCGGACGGGCGCTGCCGCGGCTGCCGCCGCTGCCGGGCGCAAGTCCCCCCGAGCTCTCGCTGGTCCTGGTCGGAGAGATGCGGGATCCGGCCTGCGGTGCCATCGCTTCTTTGCTTTCCTCCTCCACTATCCCATCCGATTCCTCCTCGCTGGACGACGGATCTAACATCCTGCTCTAGAGGGCGACGCGTCCCCGCAGATATCCCAACTTACAATGTTGGTTGGTTTTTGTTGTAAATGTATAACCACCACCCCCCTCCCCCCAGATGATGGCTGTCTTACCCGTGCCTAGATGTCATTAAGAAGATGTGCCCAAAGTCAAGACAGGGTTGGGGCCCTGGTTGAAGGCTGCTCGCTCGCTGGGACGGGGTGTGTGAGGGGGGGGGGGACGTCGGCAGCAAAAGTGGCGCTGGAAGAGGTTGGTTCTGCTTCACACTGAGCTTCCTCCGCCTGCGCCGAGCACTCGTCGACGAGTTTTATTGGCCAGTCACCGCTGCGGATGTGAGAGGGGGGAGGTGGGAGGAGGGCGGAGAGGGAGGGGCCGGGGGAGAGTAGTGTGGCCTACAGCTGAGGGGAAGGAGAGTGTCTCTCTCTCTCTCTCTCTCTCTCTCTCTCTCTCTCTCTCTCTCTCTCTCTCTCTCTCTCTCTCTCTCTGCCTGGCAGGCGGGGAGCTGGCCGCGGTGCTGAACGCAGAATAAGAACAGAGGGTGAAGGATGCGCGACGCGTCCTTAATCTCACGCTCTCTCTCTCTCTCTCTCTCTCTCTCTCTCTCTCTCTCTCTCTCTCTCTCTCTCTCTCTCTCTGCAGTGCTACACCTAAGATGGCTGCCACTGGATTTCTCCGATATTGACACTGAAATGGGGCGCATCATTTCAGTCCACGGGCGGCATTCAGATTAGTCGGTGTAGAAATGTGGCTTTTGCGCCTCCTCCCCCCCTCTCACCCCCGTGCTGCATGCATGGTGGAGGGTGGAGGAGCAAAGCAACACCCTCCTCTCTGTCGAGGGCTGCTGCTCATGAAATTGATTGTTGCAGCATGTGCTGGTATCTGCAGCCACAGTATTGGCGTCTACTTAAGAGAGATTTAGGAGTCAAATAGTGTCTGGCCAAATGCAAATGTTCAGCATTTGATCTTTTAGAGCAAAAAAAAAAGCATCAAGTAAAGCCGGGAACTTGGTTGAATTATGTTATATTATACCTAAATAAGATAGTTTCCTGCTAACGGACCACATTTTGAAATACTAACGATTTCTCTTTCGTCCCCGTAGATTTGATAAAATTGCTCTGTTGTCACTTTACCCAACAACCTGCATTTCCCATATAGGAGAGATTCATTTGTCTCTGACTGGCAGCATGGTGACACAATCAATTTTCAGATAGAAAAGCAGAGGTGTATATAATTGATTTAATAATGTTTCAGTTTTCAGTTTCAGGTTTGCAGGGCCAAATCATCCTCCCGGGCCTCTATTGGTTCTACATTTCACATCCCACCTTTCACCTTCGAAATGGAAATGCGTTCTTTCTCCTAGAAGTTCCCATTGAGCCCAAACACACAGCAGACTACAAAGGCAGCTTTACGTGAGCTCAGATGCGGAAATGCCATTAACTGCCACATGTTTTGTAATTTAATAAAACACAATCTAATGCCGAGGTACGCTTCAGTGCAAATAAATCCTCAACAATGAAAGTTTGAATGGTCGATTCTGACTCAGGGCTCTTCAGTGGTTACATCCAATCTCCAAGAAGACGTCGTGAACAACAAACTGTCTGGTCAAAACCATCTAAGATTTTTTGATTGAGGTCACAGGTTATTTTCCCTCCAAACTCCTCTTTTCTTACCACCAATGTCACCTCAACGACCCTCCATTGTGTTCACCTCCTCCACCACCATAGTACTTACAGTGCCGGCCCACCGATGACGACTTCACTCTGTGAACTCAGCACGAACAGAGAATGAGCCGGTCAACTTCCTCTCTGAGATTTGATTGAATCTGACAGGTAGGCTGACTAGCTGCTTAATCCAGATGTTCCTTCCGCGTCTGAGCGGCAAATTCTCTGCAAGTAAGCATGCTTTTCAAGAGCTCCTTTCCTCCAGTTTGACTCCGGGGGCTCTATTGTTTCCCTGACTTGACAGTTATTAGTCCTTCTTTAGTTTGTACTGACCCTTGTGGGTTCTCAGCATGAGGCTTACCTTTCATTCCCATAGTTCTCTGCTCGTTATGTTTTTTTCAGAGGTTTCAAAGGTTCCTTATGGGTGAGACCCGTTGTCTGCGAATGCACACAATTGAGATCCCTCGAGAGGTCAAGCACCAACCTCAGCAACGCAGCTCTCCGAACCTTTTAAACATCAATAATTGACTGATTTTCTCTGCCCCGCGCAGCTACTTCAACCAGAGTGTGTAGACATCAAATGTTGATGCTCTTCAGTAGTTAAATACAATGGCAAGTGTGGAAGAAGTGCACACATTTTGGCATTCAAAAAAAGCATGTTTGTTTTAATGAGAGTAGTTCTATATGATTTTTGTACCCTCTACTAGAAACACTGTTAGGAGATTGTTTTCTCAACTGCTGACCTATTAAAGCAACATGAGAGCTGGCCCTTTAACATAAAACAACATTTTTGTTAGCAAATTAAGGGCAGTATGAAGAAGCTGTGAAAGCAACAACTGCATATTAACACATTTTAAAAGGGTAATAGATTAATCCAGCGCCAATAGTCCCAGAGAAATAGCTCTTCATCTGCTAAAGGCACAAGTATATTCTCCATCTAGAAGATATCGCTGATGAGAGTTAAACAAAAAGTAAAGTCACAGAAACAATGAGATTGTGAGTCCAGTGAGAGGACAGAAGTCCACGGTATGAGTGACACCTCCAAAATAGGAATGGGCTCTGATGGTCATGAGCTGTACCATCCACTTCACTAGATATTTGACTGTGATCTGCAAATGAATCATTTGAACTTACATTCACTCTGTACAATAAATACATTATGGATTGAAGTCAAACTCTATGGAAACCCGCCTAACCTTGTCATCAGTATTGTTATTTTAAAAAATACTGTTTCTAAGAAACGGAAACCACAGTACACAAAATAGAAGAAATAAATCAAACTTGACTCATTGGTTTGTGAGGCAGGTGTCGTTTGCACACTCTCATTTGGGTAATACCTGACACAGACATGCTGTCTGTATCACACAGTAACAAACCAAAGTATATTACAGCATCATGATATATTTATGACTTCATTCCCTCTGGAATTGAGGTTTATGAATCCTATCTGCCATTCTATACTATAGACTATATGTACATGTTTATTGTATTCCTTATACCTTTGTAATGAGTATGGGAGTGTTAGAGAGAATGTTTTTGCAGAAAGAGATTTATCATATGCACTTGAGCTTGTATCATTCACATCTCTATTCCTCTTCTCAGACTTAGCTTAGTGTGTGCTTTGTGTTGTCTCAACAACCCATAGGTTCAGTTGCATTTTAAAAACAGTGTAGCCCACTATCACACACGCACACACACACACACACACACACACACTCACAGGCAGAAGTACAAACAGCGGCTCAGAGCTTCGCTGGAGTTAGCTGAGGAGATCTTTAAAATATTTAAATGCTGTGAGCGTTTTTTAATGTGAGATTGATGGAATAGGGTCAGCTTTTCAGCTTCAAAAGGCTTCACACCCACGAAATATATATTTGTATAGGTTTTGTATATTGATGCTCAACATCAAGTAAGGACAAGTCCATCTTTTTATAAATTATCAGTGCATACAAATCCTTTTAAATAATCAATTATTATTTCATGTTTGTTTGTTTCCAAATGCAAAAATAGATTAGATAAGTGGATCGTGGAATTTTCCATGATCCCTCTTTGTCATTAATCACAATGAATTTGAGGTGGCAATCCAAGCAGGTCCAGAAGAAAATATTGTGTCATCTTAATGTAGAAATGCATTGTGTTTTAAAGTAAACATTTTTTTTTTGCCACGCAATATTCTTACTTTTCTTTGTCCAACAGCAAACAAACACAGATGAAAATATGGAAGATGAAACAAACTCTATGTGTTCTCTTTCACAGGTTATGTTTACACTTTAAGGTTCCTTTTTACAATTCGAGGGCACGCTTGAATGAGGACTTTGTTAAACAAACATGAATTGCATAAATTCCGGGTTAATTAGGATATAATTGGGCTCGAATCTTCCGTTGTTGTAGATTACAGCTGGACCAAAGGTGTTTCTCTGCAAGAAAATCAATCAAAAACACAAAATCAATTCAGGGAACAGCACTTTTCCAGGTGTAAGCCTCATGAAAACCACCACTTCCTCCCACAGTTTCCAGGCTGGAGAGAAGGAACGATGCCAGAAAAAGATTCATTAATAATTCAGTGAGAGGCTGAAGCCTCACCACTTTAAGATTACCGAAAGAAAAACCTAGAGCTGTTGTTGGACCAGCAAAATCTTCACATCAAGTGGGATATAGGATTTCTCCAATCATTGCATACACCATTAGAAGAGTTCATATGAATATAGATTATACATATAGGAGACACCACCGTCAACTGGATTTTGGATGCAAGAGGAAGATCAAATGCAACAAGAAAGTAAGAGGAGCTCAATACTGCAGCTGTAGAGATTTGTCTCTCAATCAACACGGCTAAGTACCGCCCTCTGTTGGCTGAATGATCAAAAAGCAGTTAAAGTCACTGGTTTTGTTCTGTTAAAATAACCAAATAATGTGAATATTGTGATATTGTGAGTCTCAAAACCAGAAACTCTACTTTCTTTCTTCTTCAAGGAGTTACTTATTACACAACAAATAACTTCTTTTTTTCTCAATCACAATAAATTACTCATACTCAATATTGATGTGAGTGATTTTAAAAAAAGTTACAAGAAAAAAGTACTTATTTTGAATTGAAAAATGAATAAACTGATTGTCCTTGCCCTGCTGCTTTAAAAGAATGTAATTCAGGTGTGAAGATATCCATGTGATGCTTGTATTCTCTGTTTCCAGGGAGTTCACCTGTGGTCGTTTACAACACTCGTTCGCTCGTTACCCTTCTCTGTTGAACGTCATTCGTTGGTCATTGAATTATCGTATTTGAATTTGAAACATATTGGGCTCAAAAGTTAATTGTAAGTATTGTAAGTATATCCATCCATCTTCTACACCTTGTATCTTGTACACCGTGTGTCCTTACAGGGTCACCTGGGGTCAGGGAGTCAATCCCAGCCAACCCATCAGACGGCGAGACAAGGTGCCAGTTAATCTGACGTGGAGACAGACAACCACACACTAGAATAATCATACACCTTTCAGAGACACCAATTAACCTCTCCTGCATGCTATTGCACTGTGGGAGGAGGAGAGAAGCCTCGATGGCACGGCGAGAACATGCAACCTCCAGCCAGAGAGGTGCCGATGAGAGTACTTCTACGGTACCACTCTCTCCAACCCACCACCGTCTATGCATGCAATGCGTATTTACTTGTCAAAAATTAATTCCGTGCAGTCCATTATAACAAGGAATACGATGCAATTATAGTTTGTTTTGTATGCACAATATCAAGTCATTGACAAATGGTCCCTGTACAAATCATGGCCACAACTATTTAATTTCATGCCATTTTTTCCACAGCTCCACTTGCCGCATTCCTAAAATATACATTTGTTTGGTTGTACGTGCAAAAAGGAGCAAATGTAATCCATTTCTTTCGTATGAGAACTATAAAAATCAAACAATTTGTGCTTTCTTTTACCAATTAGACGAAGGGGGTTTAATGACTTAATCGGTTTCCTGCCTCAACCGTATTTTCTATCTCACTTTAATGTTCTTGTCAGCCACCAGCCTGAACAAAATTGGTTTGAAAATACTCCTCATGACTTCAGTCTGTACTCCCCAGCATTAGGTATTTATCACCTTCAGAATTTATTACAATGCGCAGAGTTGAGTCTGGCATCTTGCTGGCATCCTTTCAAATGAATATAAACCAAGAAGCAGCCCCCCTTTGGCACAAACGTCATCTGGCTGTTTTTCAGAAGACTGAACACATCATCAGTCATTTTTCCATTAACATCAAAAGCCTTGCGGAGTGGATTAGTCAATCAAAGTCCCTTTTCTAAATCTTGTTTTTTAGATAATTTCTCAAGACACCCTTCTAATGACTTTTGGAAGTCATTGTTGTTTTGTTCCTGATCTAAATACCTGTTGCTATAGTAACAGTTAAAATTATTCTAACACATTTAACTCATTAAAACTGAATTACTATTATGTCTTTGTGTTTGTGTTGCATACAATATCTACTGCTTCAAGTACCGTAATCTGTGGTCTGATGAAGGAGTGATAACTGTTGGAATAGTAGGGGCAGTACGTAAGAATAGTGTGAGCAAATGGAAACAAAATGCCATCATATCACCTTTTGTCCTCCAAGGTAACGAGTAGACAAAAAAAAAAAAACGCAACACAATCATCCTTGATGCTTTCACATGATGTAGTAGAAGAAATTAAATTGACATTTGTCATAAAAGAGCTGTAGAGGAGATTTGTTTCAGCAACAATTCTTAAATCAATCAATAAAATTAAATATGTAAAACATACTTGCTACCAAAAGAGGTCAGCAGAATCCTTCGTATGGCTCAAGCAGCAAAGGATCATTAGAAAAGGCAACGTAATTAACTTATCCACAATGATTCCGATTGGGAAATCTACTGTACAGTTGTTATTCTATTTATTCACATTGGGCTGCGGAGCATTACTTACTCTCTTTAAAGGTGGCGAGAAAGGTTGTTATGATAATGAGGAACATAGATGTATAGTTTGAAACACACTCCAGTTACCATAGCAACACAGGTTTGGGGGTGGCATTAGCTTAGTGTGACCTACATCCCAAAAAATCACCTCACATTATTGTAGCTCACTTCAATAATGATATCATAGCTATAATAATATTAATATATATTATCAATCATTTTTTCCTATTGACTTTCACCCTGTTACCATTGTTAAACAAAAAAAAAAGTAAAAGAAATTGTATTTCAATATACATTTCAGATACATTGAGTTACAGGAAAAGTTACAGGGAAATAGTTAAAAAATCCTTGTTTTTCTGTACAACAGGCCTGTTTTCAGCTTTCAGACCATGATTTCTTTAGATAATCAAACAGGCTTAGAAATTGTTTTATAATATTAGGAGAATGTGGATTCTAAAAGTTGATAAAGAGGCCCTCAATCCCTCTGTTTATATGAAAATGAGATAACATTTTCATTGCAGCAACAAAAAGCGGCTGATGGCTGTATTATATGTACATTAGGAAAAAGACTAATGTCCTTATGGTCTTATTATTAAAAACCCCACCAAGAACCTGTTCAGACACACTCATAATTGTATTTACAGTTTATTGCAGTGTTTATGAACAAATAAAAGAGGTACAGTAAAACCTCAGACTCCTCCCTTGGGAAGAGGTCTCCAGTCGGCCCTCCCTCCTGCTGGAATAGTCACTTTCTATTTCCTCGTCAACATCAGTAGCGCTTCAACCTTGATGCCATTGTGAGGATTAGGAGATTAAATCTGTGATTTATAAATGTGTATGGTTATATTTGCTCCGGTAAGTTTCATTTCTCTATTTTGCTTATTGTGAGTTCTGCTTCTATAAACTGCATCCTACATTCGATGAATTACATTATCAAGTTTTGATGTTTTGACTTGCTGATCGGTGAATGTATGTCAGGTTAAGTGCAGCTTGTTGATGCAACATGTTTCAAACACATAAAGGTAAAGAAAGATTTACAATGGAGAACGCAGGCTAAATCCTCCATTCTTAATATGAATATTCTGCATTAGAACTATATACATAACGACTCACATCTTCCGATTTAATCAGCACTATACTGCTGTGGCCACCCTCCAGCGCACAGTGAGCAGCTCCGTTAGTTGTCTACCAACCTTTTAATTATTCAGGTTTTGTTTTCAAACTAATTTTAGATGTTAACTAACGGTCCAGTCATTTATTGATGAGTATACATTATGCATACATGTTACTGGATCAATCAAATGTATGAATTATGAACAGATCCTCATCATTTTCTCTGACCTGTTTTCTTTTCATAGATTTTTGCCATCTGCGCTTTTGCAACATGTGGAGGATACCATGGTCACCTCCAGGTTAAAGTGGACTGTGCCGACAGGAGCCAGAGTAACATGAGCATCGACATTGATTTTGGCTATCCTTTCAGGTAGTTGTGCATTCCATGTTGTATATGCTTTGGTTTCATCAGGTGCTAAAGCCTTGAATATACTAAGAAAAAAAATGAAATGGAATATAGTCTAATATTTTATTGATATATTTAGAATTATGTCATTTCAAAATGTCACTTGACCAAGAGTGAAGATCTTACTGGACACCCATCATGATGATTTCCAACTAACCAGACCAAACCACCATCATCTTGTCAAATTCATCACTGTTAAGGCTCATCTGTTAAGGCTCCCACCAATTTAAAAACAGGAAGACAGACATCAGAGCAGAAAGCCGGCCCAATTAGGACAAAATGTTTCACTGAATAATGCAACTAAATTCTAGCTGGAGTCCTGGCCGTTGAGAATCAACTCGGGATTTTGTAACGAGGCATTGGTTCAGCACTGGCCTCTTTTTATTCGTCCCAGTTAAATTTGGACTTCTGCTGACCTGCATGTACTTGGTTTGACAAATGTAAAGCCACAATAAGATGGTAGGAATTTAACAACAAATGTGAAGACACATTGTTTGACTGAATGTCTTTAATTAATTAATATCCTAAAGTGCGTCTGGCTATAATTACATATGGATAATGAATGAGCTCTTTGGAGTTGTGGCGCAGCGGTGCAGTTGTGTGGTCGACCAAAACCAAACTCTGGGCCTCACAGCCAATGACGACCAAGCTGAACTATTAATGAATCGTCCAATTGGAGGAAGGAGACTTATCTGACTTGACACTGGTGTCAGTGTGTTTCTTCAGTGGTAACTACTCTTATGTAAAGCAAGTCTGCCTGTAATCAAGTTAACACAGTGATTGATCTCATATAGGTTTCATGCAGTATGACACAGTGATTGATCTAATATTCGTCACATGCAGTATGTATATGCCCCAGGCAGCATATGGCCAAGGAATTTATAATTAATTTAAACAAATTGAGATCAAACCATATTTACTGTTGCAGCAGTTGCAGCACAAACACTAAAACAAAAATGAAGAATGTGTCTGTGTGTATACATAGCCGTGGTGTATAGTAAAATGGTCAGCAAAACCCTCCATTCAATTTTAATCAGATAATCCAATTACACAAAAGGAAGTTGAAAATCTACTTTTTCACTGGCAGAATTAAGGTTTCTCAGATGTTCATCTATATTTTATGAGCAACAACCGTTCGTTTTTAGCGACAAAGTTTGCCAGTAAAAAGAATCTCACAGTGCCAATCAGCAGCTCAAGTGACGTTTTCCCTCCAGGCTGAAGCACCTCACAAACTAGCTTTAAAAGCAACTTGTTTTTAATCCACCAACTTTTCTTTGTGCCTTGTAGGTTGCATGAAGTGCATTTCAAGGCTCCCATGTGCGAGGCAAAAAGGGAAGAGGTCATTTTCCTGGACGGCAATTTTTCCTCATCGGCTCAGTTCTTCCTGACTGTTGGTGTTTTTGCTTTTCTGTACTCTCTGCTGGCCACCATTGTCTATGTGTTCTACCAGAAAAAGTATCTGAGGAACAACAGGGGCCCACTTGTGGTCAGTGAGTCCAACCTTCTCCAAAACATTCCCTTAATGTCCACGCCTGAATCACTGTTTGCGTTTGTATGAAACGTAACGATGATCCGTTTTCTTTGTTTCCTGAGCAGGATTTTGTGGTTTCAGTCATCTTCTCCTCTTTGTGGCTGGTGAGCAGCTGCTGTTGGGCCAAAACTCTTTCCGATATCAAGAAAGCCACAAACCCAACACAGGTGCTACTTCTCATCTCGGCATGCAGAACCCAGGAGAACAAATGTACGGCCACCCAGGAGCCCCTCTGGTCACAACTTAATACATCTGCGGTAGGTTTTTACGTCAGCAAATGACACATTGAAACACGGATAAAACTGGATAAAATAAGCCATTCACTCGTTGTCCCTTCTCCAGGTTTTTGGCTTCGTAAATGTCGTCCTCTGGACTGGAAATATTTGGTTTGTCTTCAAAGAGACAGGCTGGTACAAGACAGGTCAGAGATATCCAACAAGGAGTGCTTCTGGGAAACGCAGTAGTGAGATGCGACATCGGCTCTACAGCGAGAGCAGCTTTGAACAGCCGGTCGAGGGCTTTGCTCCACAACTCTACAGACAAGAAAGTTTCAATCAGCAGGTCAGCAGACAAGGTAGCTTCAACCAGGCTCAGGTAAACCTGAGCTTACCACACGCATATCTTGGCAAACCGATAATTTATGAAGGGGAGAATAAAGTGGCTTCTCAAGGCCCGATGATATTCGTCAACGAGATGTGATTTAGCCGTTAGTATCGTGCTGTAACTAGTGGTCAAGATGGGAAAATGATTTTCGTATGACCTTTATATTAAATGAAAAACACTGGTGGTGAATATTGCGAGTTTACAATGTGATGTAATATTAGAAATTAAAACATTATTTTACGTTATTAAATGTTATTATACGTCATTACTTAGTGCTTTGTTTGCATTTCAAACACAGCTGTAGGCTCAAACTGCTTCACAGTCAAACTGAGTGTTCAATGTAATTATAATACAAATATATTGTTATGGTATTACTATCAAACATTAGGTCCCAGTCATTAATAGGACACAGATAATTTAACTATTTCACTTGTTTCATTACTTGCCTTTATTTTTTACCTGAATTTCAAAAACCTTTGTCTTATTTCCATTTTTTCCAATTGTATGTCTAAACCATGTGCTTGAGTTATCTATATATATATATAACTCACGTTCGATTGTAACATATTATCACTTTGTCATTACTGATGGATACTGATGTGGCACTCTGGTGTATTTGTAATTGGTTTTCTTTTTTATAATACATATGTTGCATAATAAACTAAGATGCATAATGTGGTTGTGGAATATGTTGAAGTGCTTGTGTTACGCTCAGTGTCCTCTGCCTTTACTAATTCAAACTATAATGTCATACAGGAAGATTTTTCAAATGTGAACAGCATTAAGCATTTCATTTCATATTAGGTATTATATTTGGTTTGTTATTTTAATTGAAGTGTGTCTGAAGTGTTGCTCTGCATGCTTTCCAGGGATTCTCAGTAACTGATATAAGTGTATCCACTGTGAAGCTGGTGTTGCCATGGTTTTTCCAACCAGGTGTCAGCCTCTTCATTCCTAGGGGAAAAGAAAGGCTGCATTAGTGACTGAAATTTAGGAAGTAATAAAAAATAAATGTGGTTAACCAAATCCAATAATGATTATTGACTTTTCTAGAGACACTGGCAAAGACGCTAGAGCATATTTCACATTGTATCAGGATTATCTCAACGCCAATGGCTAAATGGAAGAATCACTGCAGGTGTCTGCTGTATTCTTTCTCAAAAGACAGTAACATAATACTGACTAAAGGTTGCTGCAACTATCTTACAGCCTGTAGTTTGCAACTTGGTGATGACGAAGAGTTTGGCTTGCTTACAGTACGTGCATGAATTATTCTCATCAGTAAAGTAGAGCAGTAATGCTCATTCAATTCATGCAAAATGAGTTAAATGTTATCTATATGTAATTCAAAGCATATATATGAATATATGTATTCAATGTAGACAGATATAGATAGTATATTATATATATATATATACATTGTCTCTATACGGCTCTTATCATGGAGACAACAAATGTAAATTACTTTAGGGAGGTTATTCAGATTTTTTTATTTTGAATGAAAAAAGAGAAGTTCTAAAGTCGGTAGGTTAACTACAAATACTTTTAATTGAATGAAACATTTTGTTGAAAATAAATTCTCAACATCATCTTTTGTAGAAGCTGCAGTTGCTGTTTAGTAGCTTACACTGAATTTGTAAAGCAAGATGATTTCAGACATTTGTGTCTGTAATAATCAGGTTGAATTTATTATTTTCATTCATTTTTTCAAATAAGCTTGGACTCAATGCCTGCAGATTTAAGTCAGTATAATAAACTTATATTTGAAAAAGGAGAAGTTCATTACATTTCACACATCCAACCGAACCTCAAGGTAAACTGATACTTACTTCCATTGTGAACTATTTTATTGAAAGTTTACATTCGCAATTCCACAAAACTGATAATTGTACCTCCTTCCTCCTACGTGATTCGAAAATAGATCAATAATCAATAAAGCTTCTTAAAGGAGTTTGTCCGTTGAACAAACCAGCAGAGCTTGTGTCTTCTCTTAAGCCCCTCACAGTGAATATAAGCCGGGAAAAATATTCAGTGCATCCCCACGTTTATTATTTAAACCTCTGCAGGCAACTTCTCTTATCTGGTCTGAGCAGTTAGAACAAAGAACGATGCTTGGCTCTGTCCGCCACTGACAGCGACACTAAGCACATGCAGGTGTCCAGAGGAGGCTCTTTAAAGAAAATTACAGTGTAAGTGGCCACAGCATGACAATTAGGGTCAGGTTATCAGCAGGAAATTGAGGGCTGCACCAAGAGATAAATGGCCTATCTGAGATGGAACAAGGGTATATTTATATGTAATGAATCCCATGGGAGCTTCAGTATGTTACACACTGGTGTAACATTTAACCTAGGTCATAGCAGCAGAGGATAAGGCAGCCATGGCTTTTAATTGTTTAACGAATAGAGCCCAATGTGAAGCATACTGAGGAGAAGTATCCTTCACTTCTTTGCAGAAACCTAAAGGGGGCATCATCTGCCAGTCCTATCATCTCAAAGCGTTCCAATTGAGGTTTTGGCTTGTTTAAAAGGATTTTTAAAAAACAATAAACTATTTGTCCGCTTTACGTAACACATACACCATATTTAAAAAACTTTATTTAATTTTTCACCTTCAAAATGTACGCTTACATGGTACTTGAAAGCCATGCATTCTATGCATGCTAAACTGCAGAAGTGCTGCTGATGTAATATTGGTGGCCTCAACGGAATGTTCTTGTGCAGGAGTTGTTGACCTGTGGCAATAATAACATTGAAGTAAATAACAGTTAATTAGTGTTGTGTCTGTTTCGAAAGATTATTATTATTCTTTCACCACTTGAATCACACTTTTGAGGCCTTTATCATGTTCAAAAACATCAGAAGGGCAAAATATTTCGATACTTTTGGGGCCGCGCATTTGGGGTCATTGCTCACTTGCGCCCCCTTGAAGTGCTCCCTCTTGGGATATTTTTGCCTAGTTTCACCAATTGACTTTTTGGACTCTTGGATATGCTATACAAAAAAGTCTATCATGATATGCAAATGCCCCTGACCAGATTTCCACCATTTTTTATTTTTCTCACGGAAACTTGATGATATCTCCTTATTTATCAAAGGGCTAATGGAGAAATGAAATTTGTAAGGGGTGTGGCCTATTAGTTAAATACTTATAACATCAAAAGTATTTGGCCTGTCCTTCCCAAATCTCTATGATATGTTCACATTGAGTTCTTGAACACATTTTCTCAGAATATTTGAACATTAGGGGGCGCTGCAGTCATTCGCTGAGTTTTCCTTTTTTCCAATTTTGTTCGTTCACAGTCACAGTCACAGCCACTTCAAAGTTTGACAAAACAATCCCAAAACCTTGATGGTTAAAATGAATACAAGAGTATTTTTCTTTTCATGCATGCATTTATTATCTAGTTAATTTTGTGTATTTTTTTCCTTTTTATGTTATACGCAAATATGTTGCTACTGGTAGCCCAGTAAAACAATTAATTGAAATAAAATAAATAACATAAAATGTCACATTTCGGCAGGTTTAGATTGACTTGACAGTTGAGGTCTTTTGAGCGTCATCATGTCCTGCACGGTGAGTCACATTTCATTCTCTCACTGAATCACTCACTGACTCACTCAATCACTCAATCTTACGCGAACATGGACACATAAATGCTGCGCAAGAAAACCTCCACAGCAAATATATTTCATTACATTTGTTTAGTTTGTACATATTAACAAATTTAATTCCTCATTGTGTTTGGTCCAGAGTCTCTTCATCAAATCCATAACTCTATTTGGCAAAAGTTTAAGACTTTTTTCCCACTGGATGGTTTTGAAAATCTGCAAAGGATAAGTGAGAAAAATGTCCACAGATTTGAGGATGTCGTCATGATTAAGACACAGAGGACACTTCTGTCTTGCTGGCAGAGACTGAGGTCTCGTCCTCCACCATGCCGCCCATTCCAATAGTGGTCAGCATGCAGTTACGGAACTGAAAGTGAGAGCAAACAAGGCCACGTCAGAAACAACTTAGTTGTTTCAAGATTTAAAAGTTGAAAAAGCCAATACTAAAAACGAAACCATATGTTGAACCAACCTGTTTGTTCAACAGTACGTAGATAACAGGGTTATACAGAGCTGAGCTCTTTGCAAAGAAGGCGGGGATGGCTGCTGTCAGGGCTGAGAAGGGAGCTCCTTTGTTCAAGAAGATCCAACCGGCAAAACTGGCATATGGCACCCAAGCTACTAGGAAGCCAAAGACCATCAAGATGCACATGCGTGTCACTTCCCTCTCAGCTTTCTGGGTAGACTCTGATTCTTGCTGCTGGGCTGCGGCCTAAAGTGTTTAATGTAATGAATGATGAGTTCATTAAATTGGTTTGGCTACATATAGGAGTGTTTATCTGAATGTCAACAATAACATACATTTTACTTACAGCTTTGACTGTCAGCACAAGGCTTCCATAAGTAAAGAAAATGATGAAGACGGGAGTAAAGAAGTGGACCACAAACATGTAGATGACGTATGATTCGTTGTTGAAGCCTGGAGCCAGAGTGTAGTAGTCAGGTCCACACGAGCACTGCATGCCCTCAGGAAGGTACCTGTGTGAAGTTAAAGTAAAATGTGTATGCACGCATCCATGCTCTTATATTAACAGGTATTTACCCAGTGCATCTACAGGATCAAGAAAAACAGTTTGTTTTATATATATATATATATATCTTTTGCAGGGAACTTTAAAATAGAAATTCACAATGAACTAAAATATGAGATTTAAAAGAATGTGCTTGTTACCTGGACCAGCCAAAAAGAGGGGGAGCAGCACATGCCATAGCCATGATCCAGGTGAAAAGGACTCCAGCTCCTGCATGAGTACCAGAGAACTTGAAGCTTCCCATGGGTTTGCAGACTACGATGTATCTTTCAACAGCAAGAACCACCAGGGACCAGAGAGCAACTTCACCTGTAGACAGAAAAGTCAAATGAATTCATGTGAAGCAACATGCTTTTTCAAATGCATTAAAGACACACTGAAGAATAAACTTCTTGATTCGCCTTTCTTACCTCCTAATGTGGCCATGAATCCCTCAACAGCACACGCAGTGGCTCCGAGAATGAAGTAGCCATTGACAGCCGACGTGATGGTGATGGTGAATCCAAAGGCGCACATAATGAGCCCCGCCACAGCCAGGTTGACCAGGATGTAGTTGAGAGGTTGCCGGAGCTTCTTGTTCTGGGCTGTGACCAACAATGTCAGACCATTGATGGGAGTTCCGGTGCAGATCAGGAAGAACATGTAGAGAGCTAGAATTTTAAACATAATGGGATCGGCCAAATAATACTGCTGGTATTCAAAGGGACTTCTAACAACCCCGGTCCTGTTGGACATGGGGATGTAGAAGTTCTTGCCCTCTGTGCCATTGGGCTCGAGTCCTCCTTCCCAGGCCATCTTCTGCTAGAGCTTCAGTCAAAAGATAGTGGTGAAGTGTCCAAGGTCACTGTTGTCACGGCTTATGCGGTACTGGGTGTGGTTTTATACTTGCCCACGGTTATCCGTAAATTGGCAAAATTAGATTACAGGAGGATTGCAAGGAAATGTACAGCTCAAGCCTGATAGATAATAGACTTAAGGAAGTGCTAATTGAAGTGACGTTTCCACATTAAATATCAACTTGAGAACATAACCGGAAAATAATTACGAGTTTAAAGTTAATAAATGAATACACTACAGGGATTTCATTTTCATAACATACCGATGACAAATGAAGAAACTGAAAATGTATTTATCCACCACGCAAGCTAGATTGACATTCATGCAGAGAAACTGACAGTAAACGACAGTAAATATATCAATCATAATGCGTGTTGTGTTCAGACTTCTTTTCCTCAAATGAGTCCACCGCATGCGTTACTCCCATCCACCAACAGGTTGTGATAAAACCTCCCTCCGTGGCAGTCCTGCAGTCACTATTGCAGGTTTTATTTTTTTCAACAGAGCATGCTCAGTTGGTTGACCCCCACCTGTATTATAAGGCCTGAAGATGTCCTGTGCATCAAATTTGTTTTCAAATACCCCTCTGTATTTGTTGCAGAGGAAGGAGGGGCTCCGCTGTCTTCAGCTTGACATAAAAACCCAGGGCTGTAATGTATTTGTCCATGTATTTGTGTCTAAATGATTCATTTTGAATTTTTTCTTTACTGTTCTACTAGTCTAACCTTATAGTCAGATGCAAGTTTTGTCAAGGGTAACTAGTGGTGAGTTGGTCTTGTATTTTTGTAAGCACTGTTACCATTTTTCGCTCCAACAGTATTGCTGATGTTGTATGACATTGCATAATCCAATGTTATTCATACCCGCCAGAATAACCTGTTTTTGACCTACTCTGACTTAATTCTGACTTGATTGACATACCGTACTGTATTATGGCTATTTATTATTTATAAATAGGTTTGTTGTGTTTGACCCTCTGTAATATTTTGTGTTTTTTCTTTATTTTTACATTCTGATAACATGTTGTGGGAAACACAGTAGCACTCAAACGTTTAGACACAAAAAGGATCAATGTGCGTACCTTCATACTTTCGATGTCTTCACAGTGGATCTGCAAAGTATAAAAAAATAAACAAATCGAATGAGGAGGTGTGTCCAAAGTTTCCACTGATACTGTATGTGAGAACGAATGAATGAAAGTTTTTTGTGTTCTCTTTTTTGCTGGCTTTAGAGTGGATTATGCCAGTCCTAGTTCTAATGTCCTGATCACAAAGCCCTGTCTATCCCACCTGTCTTCAGTCAGGTCTGGAGCCAATGACTCAAACATCCGCTTTGTCGAGGCCAATTACAGGTAAGAGATGGTATACTTCAGTGTAGCAAATAATCCTCAGGTATATATAGGACAGAGCTTTTTAAATTGTATTTTCTCTTATTTGTAATGTAAATGTGTTTGTGTGATATTTCAAAAATATAAGAATTGAAAATGTGCCAATTCCCTCTTTGTCACGGTTTGGGTTAATGTCTGGTTTTATTTTGTAGTTTCTTGCCTCTGTTCTCCCCGGGTCATGTCACTTCCTGCCTTGTCCTGTCCTCCTCTGTGATTGTCTGTCATGTCATGATTGTTTCCACCTGTGTCCAATCACCGGCACCTCCCTAGTGTATTTAAGCCATGTGTGTCTGTTGTCACTTGTCGCGTCATTGACTTTTGTCACGCATGTGCCTGCCTCTCGTGCCGCCTGCCTCTCGTTCCTGCCTGCCTCTCGTTCCTGCCTGCCTCTCGTTCCTGCCTGCCTTTTTCCCCCCAGTTCCTGTGTGTGTTTTTCCCATTGGCCTTTGCTTTGTTTTGCCTTTTGACTATTAAAGTCTTTTTGTGTTTGAACTCTGCATTTGAGTCCTGCCTTCCCACGCACCTCTGACACTCTTATTTTCTATTAACTATAAACGTGACGTACACAATTACATTCCACAGGCTGGTTTCTTCAAGGTCATTAAACTAAAGGAAATCAATGTTTATCTATGTAGACATCATGCTGCATCAATCTAACTTTCCCTTTCCCTGTCTGTTTTTTGGGCTGCAGAGAATCCTTCCAGTCCACATTGAACACCTGATGGTAAACACACAAGTCCTCAAGCCGAACTGGTGAAAATACACGTTTTTGATCCTGATCTTCACGGAGACTTCACTGGGTTAAGTTTCCCTTTTTAGTCAAATCTGGACTCGCAGACTCATTACTCTTGATCAACTCAGGGCAAGCAGCTAATCATGTTTATTCGTGGGTATCTGTATGGACTCATGCTGTTTCTTCAAAATCTCAACATTGCTTTGTGAGTATACTGTAAAGGTTATTATATCAGTTCAAGCTCTGTTTTACTCAATGTTAGTTTCTAACAATAAAGAGTGTAAACCGTTGTTATGACTGGGGTCATCTGTGTAGTGTTTGTGGGTTTCTTTTGGTGTCTTTCTGGTTTCTTTATTCAAACAGGGATGTGCCACCACCAGGCGCGGATTGGTGCACGGTCTCCCACCCGTCCTGTGATTGGCTGCAGCCGGCATATAATGGAAGCCAAGATGGCGTCCGAGGCAGAGCAGACCAGAGCAGGGGAGAACAGCAGCAGAGCACAACCCTCGTCCTCCTCCTCTTCCAACCAGCCACTTGTAGCATACCGTGAAGCTGAATAAGTATTCTGTTTTTCTTTTGAGTTGGTTTTCTCCTGTTTTAAAGTAGTTAGGTAGGTAAGACTGATGTCATTATTTTTCTCCTTTGTTTTGGTAGGTCAGCGTCTTATTTTCTAGCTAGGTTCGTTTTTTGGTTTGTTTGTTATATTGGGGATGGGCAACGGCGAAGCCGTGGTTTGTCTTTGCCTCAACATACTGGGTTTTTCTCAACCTAGAGCTTTTTTTCAATAAATATCCCCTATACAAACTTAAAGTGTGTGTGGCTATTTGGGAGACGGGGAAGATTGGGGCCTATTCATGTTGCACCTTAGGCACCCCTAGACTGGGGCGTAACATGAATTGGGGGCTCGTCCGTCTTCTTGTCTCGCCTCGTTTTCTGTGTTGTTCTATGGAAGATTTTTTGTCTGGTTGGCAGTGATTTGGTGTGTGGGGGGAATTATGGAGTTTTCACTGGATGAGTTTGTGGCTGGTCCATCTTTTGCTAAAATTGAAAAATGTAAGAAAAAGGACCTTTTGATGGTGGCAAATTGTTATAATGTGCAGGTTCCCTACAGTGCCAATAAGGCGGAGATCAAACGGTTGCTGTGTGCAGAGTTGGTGGAGCAGGCATCATACCTGAGCCAGCTACTGATGTTGCTGTTGCGGGCGGCGCGGCGGGTGACTCACCGATGGCAGACGTGAAAGCGGCAGGGGCTGCTGGCATGCTCGCTACGGGTGTAGGACTTGAGCCGGTCATAGATCCTGTCATGGGTAACATGACCACAGAGGATCTCCGCATAGCCCTCCAAATAAAGGAGGTAGAGACCAAAAACAGACAGCTAGAGGTACAAGCAATGCATCTGCGCATCAGGGCTCTCGAACTGGAAAAGGGAGCCCCGGTAGTCTCCACCCCGATGTCTCCTCTTGACCGCAGTGCTATTTCTACTCCGGCTTTTGACATTAGTAGGCACATAGCTTTAGTCCCTCCGTTTCGCGAGTCAGAGGTTGACTCATATTTTAGCGCTTTTGAGCGGATAGCTGCTGCCCTGAGTTGGCCTAAAGAGTTCTGGTCCCTTCTCCTCCAGTGTAAATTAGTGGGGAAAGCTCAAGAAGTCTGTGCCAGTCTGTCTATTGAGGATAGTCTTGAATATAAAATACTGAAAAAGACAGTGTTACAGGCCTACGAGCTGGTCCCGGAAGCATACAGACAAAAATTTAGGAATAGTGATAAAACTGCTAACCAGACATATGTTGAGTTTGTGCGTGACAAGAGCATTCTGTTTGATAAATGGTGCCAGGCGTGTAATGTTAAAAACATGGCGGAAATCAGAGAGCTCATTTTGCTCGAGGAATTCAAAAAGTGTTTGCCGGAAAGAATTGTGGTCTATTTGAACGAACAAAAAGAATCATCGGTAACGAAAGCGGCTGTTCTGGCTGATGAGTTCATTCTAACTCATAAAAGCGTTTTTTCTATGCCGGCGCCTCGCGTTTCTCAAGTAATGCCTGAGCGCAGAGTTCGGTCGCCAAAGATGATGCGTAAAAGCACCTCACCAACAGCGGGTGAGGGCCGTGAGTGTTTCTATTGCCATGAGCCAGGCCATTTGATCGCGGTTTGTCCGATTCTTAGGAAAAAAGGACCACACAAAGGTACTAAACCTCCTGCCGGTGTGGGTTTCATAAACACAGTGTCACCACCGGTAAAACATACTGAGCTGTTACCTGAAGAAAAATACGCGGAGGTTGACCCTCGGTTCAAGCCGTTCGTATCTCACGGGTTTGTTTCTTTAACTGGCGAGCAATCGGAAAAAGTGCCAGTAACTATTCTTCGAGATACAGCCGCCTATCATTCATTCATGCTGGCTAATGTGCTGCCGCTCTCCAACGAAACGTCGTGTTCTTCTGATTTGCTAGTGTGGGGAATCAAAATGAGTGAACTTCATGCCCCACTGCACATGATTCACTTGCATTCAGCGCTTGTGTCTGGACAGGTGAAAGTTGCCGTGCTCCCACAGTTTCCGATTAGTGGCGTTTCGTTTATTTTGGGTAACGATTTGGCCGGAGGAAAAGTGTTTCCTCTGCCCGAAGTAGTCAGTGACCCAATTTCGTCGGTGTCTGCTTGCTGTTCACCCTTTGCCTCTTCTGCTGTGTCTGTGCCAAATCTGTTTCCTGTGTGCGCAATTACGCGTGCACAGGCTCGTAAATTGGGTGAAAATGTGGATTTGTCTGAGTCGTTTATGGCTACGCTAGTTGAGGGTGAGCCCTCCTGTTCAGTGTCATCCGATGAGTGTGAAAATGTATTAAAATGCATCAATGAGTTTGATCTATTTCCTGCTGACACAGACCTAAGTTTAAATGTGACCCGAGAAATGTTGACTAA